GAACCTTTCAAGCCGCGCGCGCTTCCCAAGCCCCATCTCGACCTCGCCCTCCTCGCGAGAACTAGGAACCGCTTAGACCAGATCGTCCAGCATGCCGCGCGGCTCAAAGAATCCCTACCGAACCTGCCCGATCCTCACCGCTGCATCTTGGGCTTTGTAGTGCAAGCGTTTCTTTACGCCAGGCTTGGGAGGCTGGATTATCTCTTTAAAGGGTGGGGCGACGATCTCTTTATTGGTACTGGAGTTGTGTTTTCCGATATACGCGTTCGGTTAGAACAATTATTAAATGCAATTGTCAGGTTAATAGATCGGTATGGTCTGCGAGTCTAGCTTAGTTTATGTCTCATGGTGCGTGAACGCTGGCAGTTGGGTTACTAATTCAGTAAAGCAACATTGAGTTAGCAAGTTGTGGAAAAGATGTAGTGGGCTTATTGATGTAGTAACCTATTATTTTGTTACTATTACTGTCATTTTGTCAGCTTTCGATGGTTAGTATCTATATGCCACCTAGAGTCTGCTTTGATTGAGGCAGTACAGTACTATAGATGAATTTCATAAATAAGCATAGCTTTTACCTATTGAATATACAAACCTCTTGGCAAGCTCCAGAATCCAGGAAACTCATAAAGATGTCTAAGTTGGTTAAGTGGATAAGGGCCATTGAGTCATGACTGATTCCTGATAAATGCATGGACCGGTGCTTGTCATGTTGATCTATCTGCAGCAACAACACAATACCAATAGAGGTGAATATGTGTAGCTCAGGGTTGAACCGTGGAGTCCTTTGGGTTTTCTGAGCTTGGTTCTTTTCTTGCAAATGTTTCATTACCTGGCTAGGTAACATCTTAGGGACAGGTAACATCTTAGTTCCCTAGCTGGGTAATGAAACGTTTGGAAGAAGCTCAGAGAACCCCAAGGACTCCACAACAACACAATAATTCTTTGAAGGACAGTCCAATAAACTCTTTAATTCTGTCCATTCAATTTCTCTCTTCTCTGTCCCTTCTACTTTCCTCAGCCTTGCCAACATTCTTGTCCATCATCTGGTCAAGCACATAAGTATGTGAGTTTTTTCACACTGATCATCACTTCAGTGAAAGTCTTTATTTAGTCCAGGATCCATTTATTTGTTGTTGTTTTTTCTTGCAGTTTATGGTACTCTTTGTAACAGTGTTGAAATTCCTACTTTGAAAGTATCGTTTATCTTTCTTTTGTTCTCAATGTTAAGCTTTCTGTACCTTTTATTTATTATTTAGTACATTTTATTGCATAGGTATGAGGAATTCATACAACTTTAGGATTAGAATGAAGAGGTTTTAGGTTAGGCACTAACATGACTCCTATGCCTAGGACTGGTTTCTTAAAAAGATTAAATTTTGGTTACATGTGTGCTCCAGGATTAGCACAACTTGAAACATGAATTGCATGAATTTCCAAAAGGATTTTGTACAGCTGGAAAAACAGCAGAAAAGAGAAACAAAAGAATCGGGGCTAGAGTATAGTACCCTTATGAGAAATATTTTAATGAATTTCTTAGGTTTGAAAAAAAAATGAGAAAAGGTGACATAGTGCTACTAGTCATTCCTGGTGTGATGAAAATAAAGAGGGATTTTTCCCTCTCACAATTCTAGAATTAGGGTCATCTGGTGAAGCTGAATGATGCGTGATTCAGGACAGATAAAAATAGAGCTGTTGTAACTCTGAGCCCTAAATAATGTTTTTATTTAGTTATTATTTCTTAAATTTAAATTCAGCCTTATGGTAGGACTATTTCAGTTACAAGAAAATTTTTTCCTTTTTTTTTTTAATTGCTTGCCCCCTTTCCAAACAGTTTCTCCCAAATTTAAAAAACAGCAACCTACAGT